TGTGTGTGTGTGTGTGTGTGTGTGTATGTGTGTGTGTGTGTGTGTGTGATTAAAAAAAAAAGAAAGTGTATATGTGAGATTGTGGAGAATCTTGTCAAAAGGCTGGATTTTAAAGTAATATTCCGGGAAATGGAGTTTGCTTTTATTTTGCTAACACCATTTTCTCTTGTAAGTGCTAAAACTCACAAAATGAGACTGGGCCCAGTTCTTTTCCACTTACAGAACAAAATTTAAACATACAGATGTATATGGTCTATGTTATGTAAAGAGGAAAGTAACTTTAAAGGTATTTTGCTCTAGGCCTGAGGGTGAAGCTCAGTGGTAAAGCAGATGCCTAACAGATGCAAGGCCCTGGGTTCCACCCCCAGGACTGGGGGGAGAAAGGCAACAAAAGCTGTTTACCTGTGGGTGGGCAGATGGCATATTTGCCCTTCCCCAAGTGTCTTCTTCTTCCAACTCTCCAACATCTTTAACCTTTAAACATTTAAATGTTTTTCCTGATAATGTGAAAAACCAAAACTTCCACACATGTAAACATACAAACAATGTAGTCCAAAACAACATAGAGAAGCATCTCATTTCTTTTTTCCCTCCCACCTAGATGCTGTATTACGTAAAGGATATTCCAGCTACCCTGAGATTCTTCCATGGTCTCTTAGGTGCCAATGCTAAGATTCTCATTATTCTTGTGTCAGGTAAGTGACTTCAGTCAGCTGGGTTTTAAAACAGCAACTGTGAATATACATGGATTCATCTGTTTAGATAAAGTTATTATATTTTGTGTTTGTTATGAAGCTCATTTAAAATTAATTTTTAGACCAGTAGAAATGTCATTCACAACAGTGCTCAATTTAGAGAACCTAGTGGAACCAAAATCATTTTGCTTCCATCTATTCAGAAAAATGTCCTTACAGGGGTTAGAGAGAAGGCTCATGATTAAGAGGACTGGAATTTGGTTTCTAGCACCTACTTCAGGCAGCTCACAGTTATCTGTAACTCTAACTTAATGCTTGTGCATATGCACACTCACACACACACAATTGAAAATAAACTGTAATAGAGCCTTAATAAAAAGAAAGAAATTCTTTGCCTTGCATCTTCATTGGTTACTTTTCTTTGACTGTGATATAACACTGAATCTTTAAACCACCTTGGGGAGAAAAAGGATTATTTGGTTCACAGTTTACAGTCCATCATGGATCCATGGAAGTCAAAGCAAGAACTCAAAGCAGGAACCTGGAGGTGGGAATTGCAGCAGGATGATGGAGGAGTGTGCTGGCTGGCATGTTTCTAAGCCCACCTGCCTACCGATGGCTCCATCCACGCTGGGCCCTCCTACATTAATTCACAATTTAAAAAAAATATGTCATTCAGATATGCCCACAGGCTCATCTGATGGAGGAAATTCCTCAATTGGGAATCCTCCTTCCAAGGTGTGTCTAGACTTGTGTCAAGTTATTAAAAACCAAGCAGCACCATCTGTTTTACAGGACAGAAAGTTCAAAGGACAGTCTATTTAACATGAGAACAAACAATGACATTGATTGTGTTTACCTGTTTTATGTCACTTGAATGTCTTTCCCCTATCCTTGACTTTACTAGTAAGGAATAAAATTTTAAATATTTTGGATGCTATTAATTTGCATTTTTTGGTTTTTTTTTTCAAGACAGGGTTTCTCTGTGTAGTTTTGGTGCCTGTCCTGGATCTCGCTCTGTAGCCCAGGCTGGCCTCGAACTCACAGAAATCCGCCTGGCTCTGCCTCCCAAGTGCTGGGATTAAAAGTGTGTGCCACTACTGCTTGGCTAAATTTGCATTTCTGAAGCCAGTAGCAACACAGTTTAATATATATATATATATATATATATATTTTTTTTAAACATACCTATAAAATGATCTATTTGTTTTGCTTTTCAGAGAGGACGTTTAATTAGTTTGTTGTTTCCAGGGTCTTGACACATAGTTTAAAGTTAGAAAATGAAACATTGACATTAAGGTCATGCCTAAGACTTCACTGTGCAGTGTAGGTTGGATTCACAATTGCCAGTCTTAGGGGCCCCTGCAGCCATGCCATATCTCCGCAGTTGTTCCTCGATGGATTCCATGGATTGTCCACTTGTTGCCTGATGGCTTGTTTCTAAATACACCACAGTCAGTACCACCATCACCAGACAACAGCACCATGCACTGAAACTGTGTGCGGCAGAATTTTTCTTCACATACAAGGATTCATTTTCAAAATGGCAGATGAGTTTTTGCTTATAATTTTGGGCGTTACTTGATGTGAGGGTTTAGAGCCAGGAACTCTTGCATACAACTGACTCCCCAAAGCGGATATTCTGATGTACTATTTTTACCTCTAGTTAGTTGAAATTATTCATTTATGTGGGAAAGGTCTCGTTTTCCATTTTGAAGGGATTACGTAAAGTGAATCTTTTCTGCTAACCTGTGTCTAAATCAGGACACTTGGTATAAAGCACTTTGTATTATAACAGTAAACTTGGTTTTCAATGTTGTGGGAAACTACCTGTATGATCTGCATCAACAAAACAGAAACACTATTCTGAACAGAAATTTATCCTGAATTGACATACTTCATATTAATAACAGTTTACTAGTGGATCTGACATTTTGAGCAGTTACATATTTGAATTCTAGGTATTTGACAATAAGAATAAAGCATTATATGGTTTAAAATATGGTCTAATTATTCATGTGCATTTTAGAATTGACCAAGCACCTTGATAGACACAGTGGTTTCCTGGCTGCAGCATAAAGAATTACTGTAACCCATAGGTTGTTGGCATCAAAAAATCCAAAAACAAAACAGGCCCAGGAAAAGGTGTGAGGACACATGGGGTATGAATCCTAGTGTACTTCCTACATGTATGAACTTTGTTTCCAAGCCTTAGCTAACTTTAGGCTATTTGTCAACCTGGACCCATGCTACTTGTATTTATCCATACAAAGGATCCAGATGAGCACTGTATGCTTTTATATGGAACCAAAAAGACAGTAAAGACAATGAATGTTTTTTAAAAAGAATTTTGAGTAAGAAATTATTTAGTCAGAGTACTTCAGATGGTAGAAATAATTTCCACTTTTTTATAAGTAGCTCACAAGCTCTTACTACTAGCTGAAGAATAGGATATTGTTGTCTGAAAGAGGTAAGCATTTTTAATCAATATAGTTTTAGAAACGAGAATGAACACCTAAGAGTGTTTAGTTCATTAATCTTTGATTCAGATGTGGTCTTCCTATTATCATTATCACTGATTCTTGGAAGAGGGTTTTACCATGGAGAAGAAATGTCACATTAATTTCTTTTTAAAGGAACCACTGAATAAAACAAGAAAAAAATCTTTCAGAAATTTGCTTATATTTGTCAGAAATAGTAAATAGATTAATTAAATATACATTAAAATATTTTTGAAAAATTACCTTTTCTAATAGTTTGCTTTCCAGTTAAAGAAGATATTCAATCTGAGGAGAGAAATAGTCCTGCCAAATATGTTGGTTATTTTTCACCAGTTCAGTTAGTCAACTAGGCTGTTTCTGGTCCCCCAGCCATACTCTCTCACACCTAATAATTAAAAAAACACAGAGTAAATGGCTTTAGCTTTATCCCAAGTATCTTGAGTAACCCCCTCCCCCATCGCTGCCCTGGGGCTTCCCTGCTGCTTGTGGTGATATATTATGTACCTCAATAAAGCTTGTGTAGGGATCAGAGAAGCAGAACAGCCAGCCACTAGCTTACCTCTACGAAATCCTCAGCCTCAAGAGAGTGAGTTCCTGTTTTCTCACACCTTATGTACCTTTCTGTGTCCTGCCATATTACTTCCTGGGATTAAAGGTGTGTGTCACCACTGCTTTGGTCTGTTTCTCTCATGTATCTCGGTGAGGCCTTGAACTCACAGAGATCTAGATGGATCTCTGCCTCCCGAGTGATAGATTAAAGGTGTGTGCCACCACTGCCTGACGTCTATGTCTAATTTAGTGGCTGGCTCTGTCCTCTGGTCCCCAGGTAAGCTTTATTGGGCTATACAGTATATCACCACATTCCCCCTCCCTTTTTTTTTGTCTAAAATAATAAACCCAGACAAGCGTTATTGTTGGGTATACGATATATCACCACAGCTGCTTCACATCAGAGGCTGTCATGAACTCAGGAGAGTAAAGGTCAGTGCCTTTGTCTCTCAGTCTATTACTATACCTTTGTGAAGCCATGGGTGCACAGAAAATGCTCAACACATGATTGGATTCAACTGAATAGTTGTTTATTTGTGTTTTGTGATACCAGAACTACAAGGTTCTAAAAGTCCACCCAAAAGAGGGGACTATGATTCATCTAAGAATGACTACATACAGAACTACATACAGAAACTGTACATTTGTACGTGTTTACACTGAAATCAAAGCCTCGGTGAAATACAAACATACATTCTCACAGGCATATATACTGGATATGGGGATAGTCAGCCAAAACCATGTGGGATAAACAAGTAGAACTATTAGGAAAGAAAGACAGGTTGAAATCAGAATAAAACTGGGTCACTTAGTGGTCAGTGTCCTATAATTGACCTTACATTTTCTTCTGTGTTGTTATGCTTCTGTTATAGAGCAGTTCCATCTCAGTAAATATTCACTTAGTGGTAACTAGCAAAATTTTTTAATCATTAGTATGAAAAATGAAATGAAAAAGAAGAGAAATAAGTACAAAATACTTGAATTTTGTTTTAAATGAAGTGTTGTAGACTAAAATATTTCACTGATGTGTTTTCACTTTCCCCCTTGTTCATTCATCTCCAATTTTCTTGGCTTCCTGGTCAGTTCTTAACTGTACCAGCCTTGCTTTGCTTCAAATCCTTTGTAGCTGTTGTTTCCATCTGGAGTAACCTTCCCTGTGATGTCTACATGGTTGCTGACTGATTTGTGCTCAAATGTCATCATATTAAATGGACTCTGTGATCACCATGGGTAAAACAGTGGTGCTTAAATGTCTTTGATTGTTTTTCATTTACACGTTATATCATGTGATATATATTTAGTTACTTATTTAATTTCCTCCCTGCTTTTGTTATGCTACTTAAGTTAAGCTCCACAAAGGATATGAATATTATTTTGTTGGCTGTTCCATTCTAAATGTCTAGTGTAATGACTGTAGAAGCTAAATGAAAGAAAAAAAATAAAACATAAACTTTGTTCTTTTGCATAGGAAGTAGTGGCTGGGACAAGCTATGGAAAAAGTATGGATCCCGCCTACCCAGAGATGACCTCTGCCAGTATGTCACATCCTCTGATCTTACTCAGATACTGGACAACCTGGGGATTAAGTATGAGTGTTCTGACCTTTTGTCCACCATGGACATAACAGACTGTTTTATTGATGGTAATGAAAATGGAGAGCTGCTTTGGGATTTTTTGACAGAAACCTGCAACTTTAACAAAACAGCACCACCGGATCTCAAAGCAGAAATTATGAAAGATCTTCAAGAACCTGAATTTAGTGTTAAGAAAGAGGGGAAAATACTTTTTAACAATAATCTGAGTTTTATAGTAGTTGAGGCATAAATATAAATCATAAGAGTGTTCAAAACGAACAATTGTGATTGTTCAGAACACCATTATTTTGAACAATTGTTTATTTACGTATTGAATTTACATATCAAACACATTTACATATTAAAGTTAAAATTAATCTTAGAATAAGGATATAATCTTTTCTCTTATAAACAAAATCTACAAATTCCCAAGACATTCTTGAGTTTCCACCAGAATCATGTGGGCTACTTCCAGTTATCGATTGTCCTTGAAACATAGCATTCAGGCTAAGCACTACCTAACTGGAAACATGGCTTGAATATCATTGGCTTACTGATAATAAACTACTTTCCATTATCTTATTGTACTGGAAATTCTTAGAATAGTAATAAAATATGTGCTATCTATATTTTGAATAATAGCAAAATAACATTTATTGATTCTTTCATTATAAAAGGTAAATATATCTCCACTTTTAAAGAAGTGTTTGTCTTCCTATTTTTTCCTATGGTAATTTTTATCATACCTTTTATTAATATCATCAGAAAATTAGAGGCTGGTGGGATGGTTGTTCCAGAAGCCCTGGGTTCAGTTTTCAGCATGCGTATCCTACACCTCACAACCCACTGTGACACCGGCCCTAGAGAATCTGATGCCATATTCTGGCCTTGCAGGCATCAACACTTCTGTGCACATACCCCTCCCACACACATAATTAAGAATAAAATAAATCTTTAAAAAGATTACAAAATTGGCTCTTTGTCATGTGAATTTTCTATGTTATCTAAGCTATAACCATCTTTTCTCTTTTTGATACACTGAAACTACATCTTGTGTGAATCAATTTAGTTCACATTTTCCTTTTCTCAGTTTTAGTTTCTGATACATTTTAAAGGGTCTTATAAAGTTTAAAATACAAATAGTTTTATAATAATTTCATAACTTCATTCCAAAGTTAACTTTGGACGGTAGGATTTCAGAGAATTTGGGGAGACTTATTTGATATTCTTGTTTTATTTTAAATAATCCTCTGTTATTCTTATAAGAATAATATATTTTAAGTCAGAAAATGAGTAATAATTCATAAATGTAGTGGTATTTGCTCTGTCCATGACCTTGGGCTATATGGCCCAAAGGAGACGGTGCTTCATGACCTCTTATAAGGAGTTCCCTGCTCCTGCCTGCAAGGTGGATTTGCTCCAGGTCAGATCAGAGGACAACTTCTATTGTCTGCTCTGTTCTGTAATTGTGAGTGTATTTCCTCAATTAATATCTTAATAAATTATGTTATCCATTTAATAGACTGATGTGGATTGATACATAAATAATTTCTATAATAAGAAAATGGTACTTCCCATCAAAACAGTAAAAAAAAGATTTTTTTTTTTTTTTTTGGTTTTTCGAGACAGGGTTTCTCTGTGTAGCTTTGCGCCTTTCCTGGAGCTCACTTGGTAGCCCAGGCTGGCCTCGAACTCACAGAGATGCGCCTGGCTCTGCCTCCCGAGTGCTGGGATTAAAGGCGTGCGCCACCAATGCCCGGTTAAAATTTTATTTTACTTTACAATACAATTCAGTTCTACATATCAGCCATGGATTCCCTTGTTCTCCCCCTCCCATCCCCCCTCCCCTTCCCCCCAGCCCAACCCCCATTCCCACCTCCTCCAGGGCAAGGCCTCCCCGGAGGACTGAGATCAACCTGGTAGACTCAGTCCAGGCAGGTCCAGTCCCCTCCTCCCAGGCTGAGCCAAGTGTCCCTGCATAAGCCCCAGGTTTCAAACAGCCAACTCATGTAATGAACACAGGACCCAGTCCCACTGCCTGGATGCCTCCCAAACAGATCAATAATCAACTGTCTCACTCATTCAGAGGGCCTGATCCAGTTGGGGGCCCCTCAGCCATTGGTTTATAGTTCATGCGTTTCCATTCGTTTGGCTATTTGTCTCTATGCTTTATCCAACCTTGGTTTCAACAATTCTCGCTCATACAAACCCTCCTCTTTCTGGCTAATTAGACTCCCGGAGCTCCACCCAGGGCCTAGCTGTGGATCTCTGCATCCAGATCCCTGAGTCCTTGGATGGGGTTTCTAGCACAACAATTAGGGTGTTTGGCCATCTCATCACCAGAGTAGGTCAGTTCCGGCTGTCTCTTGACCATTGCCTGCAGTCTATTGTGGGGGTATCTTTGTGGATTTCTGGGCCTCTCTAGCACTTTGCTTCTTCCTATTTTCATGTGGTCTTCATTTACCATGGTCTCCTATTCCTTGTTCTCCCTCTCTGTTCTTGATCCAGATGGGATCTCCCGCCCCCAACCCCCAAGCTCTCTTTCCCTCGAACCTCGCCCTTCATTACCCCATGATTCATGGGGATGGAGCAACTTCAACACAAAGAGAGAATTCAAGACTCTAGAGCAATTATGGCCTTTTGTAAAAAAAAAGAATGGACATGCTATTTAATGATGGAAATAGATATACTCACAGATTGTTATTTACAAATCTGGCCTTTTTCTCATCCCTATCGGCCTTTTCTAGAAAAAGTAAGGATAAATAAATTCTCATCTACTTTAGTTTAATATAATGGAAATAGCCGGGCGTTGGTGGCGCACGCCTTTAATCCCAGCACTCGGGAGGCAGAGCCAGGCAGATCTCTGTGAGTTCGAGGCCAGCCTGGACTACCAAGTGAGTCCCAGGAAAGGCACAAAGCTACACAGAGAAACCCTGTCTCGAAAAACCAATAATAATAATAATAATAATAATAATAATAATAATAATGGAAATATACAATTTTCGCTTAAGAAAGGTCAGATTGCCCTGACTGTACCTCCTCCCTTTGGGAGCCCCATTTGCTTGTAAATAAATGGCTTTTCACTCATCTGGTAAGTGTTTTACAACACCAAAAAGGCCCTCATTCCCTGATGAGGAAAGGTTCTGATTTATAAAAACAATTTGATTCCTCTGGAGGACTGGCCTTTTGATGTTTCACAAGTCAAATGTTATATTTGTAAGACACCCTGGCCTGCACCAGGTGTGATGTTTTTCCACAGGCACAAACCTGCTTTTGGTCAGCTGGCTAGAGGACTCAATATACTTTAAAAAAAAAATATATATATATATATATATATATATATATATATATATATATATACCCTTAATTTGCTTAATAAAGCATGGTGAGGGCGTGGAGAGATGTCTCAGAGGTTAAGAACACTGGCTGCTCTTCCAGAGGACCTGGGTTCAATTCCTAGCACCCATATGGCAACTCATAACTGTCTGTAAAATTCCAATTCCAGAGGATCAGACTGCCCTCACACAGACATACACACATAAGCCAAACACTAATGTACATAAAATAAAAATAAAAAAATAAAGTATGGTGATTCGTAACTTTCTCACATGGATTATTTCATACAAGCCTTCTTTGTTTTTCTTAAAAAAAAATTTTTTTGTCTTATTTTGTATTTGTAAGACAGACTCTGATTTTGTAGACCAGACTGTCTTTAACTGTGTAAACTAGGCTGGCCTCCACCTCATGGCAAGCCTGCTGAGTGTTGAGATTTACAAGGGTAAGCCACTGTGTCCGGTTTATTAGATACTGTTTTAAACAGAAAACCATCTCCACACATGCCTAAAGCTCAGTGATAGTGTTACAGTGAGCCCACCAGAGATGACCACTCAAACTTTATGGCCCACTGAAAGTCTTTTTTTCTAACTGGCTGGGGCCACACCCTGGTATTTGGGTGACCTAGGTGTGGCTCTGAGTATCCTGAGCACAGGGTTTTTAAAGGCAAAACCCACATCCTAACACCTCAGTCGGCAGCTACAATGGGTTAGAGGGTCGGACTTTGTAGAAGCAAGCAGTTTAACAGAAGCAGCTAAATTAAGTCATTAGCTGTAGGGGGTTCTGCACAAACAGGCTTAAAACAAATTAGCTAGGACATCCTGACCTTGGGCTCCTAGAATAGAGTTAGGAAATTTACTATAAGATACTCCATCAAGGAGATCAAATTCTAGTTAAACCTGAAATGGCCTCAGCAAGAATACAAAATGAAACAACCTTTGCATTGTGGTGCCCAGTCACAATTGAAGGCCATTTAGTTTCAGAGGATGTAACTATTGACTTCTTCCTGTATTACCTGATATTACAAAAGATATGGGGTAGTCATATATTGACTTTCCAAGTTTGCTTTTATGATTAAGATTAAAAAACAGCACATTAGAGTGCTGTTTTGTATGTCGTTATGAATCTCACTGTAGCATGGTGCCTTGCATATGGTAGGTGATAGACACGATGGCTGATGAGTCCTTTTCTTTGGAACCATCTGCCTTATACTTAGTGTGTTCAGTTCAGTGTTGTAAATATGGCCCAAGAAATTAAACAGGTGCTAGAGCAATGGAAAGGCATACTTGAGGCCCTGAGTTTGATCCCCAGCACAAACAAACAAAAAGCAAACCAAAAAAGAAATAAGAAAAATAGAAACATTTTAAAAAGAAATAATACCCTTTATCCAAATTGAATTGTTTCCCCTAGGTTAATATAGATTTGAACTTACCTAGGACTCTTTATGGCACTTGCCCTTAGAAGTTATTGCAAATTCCAAAGAGAAAATATACTGTGGTTCACAGTATTTTAAGGTCTGATATTTTCTTGAAAAATTTGCAGTCTATAATTGGCTCTTCTACCAGGAGATAAGAAAAATTAAGTGGTCTCTACATTCATAAAATGAAATGAAAAATTCATAAAGAATTAATGTTCATGGTCTATAAAACTATGTAAAACCTGTGAGAGCCAAAGTTATATTTTAAGTTGTAATTACTGTGCCTAAGAATATGAAACATGAAACAAAAATGCCTCTAACCTGTAATCCCCTCTGCCCAAGGACAGATACTTCCTGAAATGCTGGAGGCTGTTGTTTATGGGAGATAACAAACCACATGTTTTCACTCCCCTAAACAAGTTTGTTTGACCCAACAATACCAGATGTTCTTGATCACATGTGGGCAGGAGGTTCACAGACAGGAAACACACTTGCTCCTAATTGGATCTCATGGGAAATGCTGTGAATTATGGGTTTGGCCTTTTTTAGTCCCTGCAAACTGAAATGACTCAGGGCCATTTCCCTGGGAACCCAGGTATGATCTGGCCAGAGCAAGTCAACCTGGTCAGTATTTAATAAAGACTTGATTCAAATTTGGTTTTAAATTGTGGTAGTGGTCTTCTCCTTGACCAGTGGGATTAACTATCAAAGTGTATATTTAGTGTTTTTCAAATATTTATTTAATAAGAATACTTACTATATTTTGTCATATAAACAATTTTATATATAGTTCTGTTAGTAGAGTGCTTGCCTTGTATAAGTATGAGCTTGATCTTCAGTATCACAAACAAAAATGTAATAAAAGTGAAATTATATATGTTTACCTCATCAGAATGGTTTCTAAGAAAAATAAAGACTACTTTTTAAAAACATAATTTTTACATAATTTTTATTGATTCTTTGGAAATTTCACATCATGCACCCCAATCCCACTTATTTCCCAGTCCTGCTGTATCTGTTCTTCACCTTTGTAATGCCCCCCCAAGGAAAACTTAAAAAGAAATAATAAAAAAAATAGAAATTAAAAAATACAAATAAGAATATTAATTAACAAACAAAATAAACAAACGAAAAGCAAACAATAAAACAATTCTCTCCTCCATTTTTTTTCTCCTGTCGCCTCTTCATTCTTCCTAGTGGTATCAGGAGCTGCTGT